GCTAGGACGGAAGATGGCATGCGGTTGATAAGATAACATGCCGTGAGAACAGCATCACCCCAAAAACGTGAGGGTACTTGACCATGAATGAGAAGGGTACGAGTTGTTTCAATAAGGTGTCTATTCTTGCGCTCAGCCACCCCATTTTGTTGAGGGGTATAAGCACATGAGGTTTGGTGAAGAATGCCATGAGAAGCCATAAAATGTTTAAACTGTTGAGAAAGGTATTCACGGCCATTATCACTACGTAAAGTGCGAATAGAAACCCCAAACTGAGTTTTTATTTCATTGAAAAAAGTTTGAAAAATAGAAAACAACTCAGAACGATTCTTCATGAGAAACAACCAAGTACATCTGGAATAGTCATCAATAAAGGTAACACAATACTGAAATCCTAAAGTTGACTTAACACGACTAGGTCCCCAAATATCAGAATGAACCAATGAAAAGGGGGATGACGCTCGTTGAGAAACACTACTAGGAAAGGAACTACGAGTATGTTTACCTAACTGACAAGACTCACACGACAAACTTGATAATTTCGACAGACTTGGAACAAGTTGCTGCAGTTTGGCAAGACTGGGATGACCTAACTGAGCATGAAGAAGGGATGGTGACTCCATGATTACGCCAGCATGTGGAGAAGGGCTGAGATGATATAGGCCACAAGACTCACATCCTGTGCCAATCATGTGTTTCGAACTTCGGTCCTGCAACCAAACAGAATCTTTGGTAAATGAAATAACACAATTAAGGGAACGAGTTAGACGACTTACGGACAATAAGTTAAAAGGAGACCCAGGGACATAAAGTAAATTATCAATGGATATGGACTGGAAAATATGAACAGTACCAATACCATGAGATGAGACTCTAGACCCATCAACCATCGTTATTGAGGGTAAATTATCCGGACATGACAAGAAAGAAAACAAGGACTTGTTACTAGTGATATGATCGGTGGCGCCTGAGTCAAGGACCCAAGATCCGAGAGAGTGAGTCAGACCAACAAAAGGAGTACCTGTGTGTATAACAGAAGCAGATGTAGTGGAACTAGAGTGATGACGGTCCTCATACCATCTAAGAAATTCCTGAAAGAGTACAGGGTTATTTATGGTATTTGATGAAGTAGGATGGTTTGCAGACGGTGATCGGGGAGGTGGATCAGAATTAGCCATTGCTATAGGTCGAGGAGGCGATCACGACGGTCCTGGTCGGCGGCGGATCTCGCCGGCGACGCGCCGGCACGCGCGATGGGAAGCGGCGGATCTGGTGACCTTTGCGGCGGCGCGTGGAGGCGCGTGGATGGTCTGTTCGCCGTGATCTTTGCACCACGGTGGTCGCTCGGCCGAGACGATCCGGATGGTATGGTCGGCGGTCGATTCTGGAACTCGGGGCGACGGCGGCGGCGATGGGTACCGGAGACTGTGGAACTGGCTGAAACAAAACCTAAGCTCTAGATACCATGTGAAATAGTAGAGAAGATTAGGAAAAATCCCCCTTATGTGTTTAGCATACACATAGGGTAGTTTATTTATAATGTAAGATAAGGGTTAAACCCTAAATACAGAATGGGCTAAGCCCAATTAACATAAACACACAACTTAACATCTAACAAAAAGCAATGAAACGGTTGGATGGAAATCTTCATTAGTATCTAATTGTGCTTTGAAGTGGCTGACATACACACGCAGACACACATATAATTGGTGTGCTTGCGATCTAGTGGATAAAGGATAGAATGCATGTAAAATATTGTTCAAAAAGTAGAAAAGTCTCAACAATTTATCTATCCCCTTATACAAAAGCTTCATGCAGAAACAGTAAACTGGATAATATTTTATTTTTCCAGCAGGAAAAAAAATCTTTCCTGCATTTAATGCAAACTTTGCTGTTCATCTCCAACTTTGTAACTCCTTTAAGATCAAAAATTGAAGGATTAGTCAGATTTTGTATTTTCTCTCTTTTTTAAGTTAGTTACTAATGGTGATTGTGTGGACTTCATAGCACTAAATCGAAGGCCCTATGCAGAAAAATACCAGAAGAAAAACTGAATCAAAGTTGAAAATTTTAGAAATCAAACTATTTCCTTTATTTTGGCATGCACAAAGTCAACTAACCACTCTGTAAAAAGAATATTCAATTTTAGATTCTACTATAACTGAATTATGTGAAAATAATTTAGAGTTTGAAGTATTGCTTTTAGTTGGGTTGTATACTAGTTCTATAATAATTGACAAGAAGGGGCTAATGTTTATGCGAACAATTCTTAGTCTGTAGCTGTTACTTATGTACTGATGATTTGACAATAGGAATACATTAGTTATGCCATGGTCTGTTATAGTTAGAACTTGTACACTTACACAGTGTTAACCAAGCCTTATCCCACAAGGTGGCCTCGGCCACTTCGGGATAGCTTGTTTACTTGAAAGAAAGTTAATTCTGTCTAAAGCAAAAATGGGTTTGTACCTATAACATTTTGAACTTTGATCGAATTAGAATCTAGGCAAAAACAATTATGCTACACTGATTGGAAAATCTTGATTGCTTAACTGTGAATTTGTTTTTTGTTACTATCTGTGTCTTAATGATCAGCTAGCTTCTATCTACATAATTGATGGCAATTGGTTTTTGTGACTTTTCAGGTTGGAATGTCAATAGATCCAAAACTTCTTGTATCAAACTTCCCAATCATCGGAGTTACACTAGGACTCTTAATATGTGGCAAGACTATCTTGGTTTCTTTGATGGGTAGAATGTTTGGGATTTCCTTCATTTCTGCCATCAGAGCTGGTCTTCTTCTTGCTCCTGGTGGAGAGTTTGCATTTGTGGCTTTTGGTGATGCCGTTAATCAGGTTTTTGTCCTTAAAACTATTTTCTCTGCGAAGAGTTGTGTTTTATTTGTGGTAGTTTACTCTAGGACTTGATATTCATGTAAAATAAATCACTTTTCTTTAGTTATTTATATAAATGTATATATAATGGGTTATGGGTTAAACGTATGTTCATAAAATAAGTTCTGTTTTAGCAAGATGCGTAGTAAGAGTTGAGATCCATAAACATTTGTTCTTGCAATGCTTGTTACCTTGGATATTATAGGATTGCAATATATGGTTTAATTGGGAAGCTTTGATGCATGTCTTAACCGATTTCCTCCAATTGCCAGGGAGGGTTTGAGGTAGGATCATGGTTATCAAACTTGCGAGTTAACTCATTAACTTGGACGAGTTTACATTTCTAGACATGGCTTCCAAGTTAACTCAGAAACACACTTGATTTCCAACTAGAATTGGGTGTGAAATTGATAGGTTTTTGGATTACGAAACCGATCTAACTCAACACACACACACAAACAAGAGTCTAGACGGAAAAAAGAATGTATCTGTATTATTATCTCAACCATTGTACAACTCTTTACACTCAAGGAAGCCTAACCTCCCTCCACTGGACTAAACTCCAGTCAAACTCAATTGTACAAAAAAATAGCTCTCTGACAAGGATCCAGGAGGTCGGACCAATGGATAGGCTCCTGGATTACGAAACCTATCTAACTCAACACACACACAAACAAGAGTCTAGACGAGAAAAAGAATGTATCTGTATTATTATCTCAACCTTTGTACAACTCTATCACCTCCAAGGGAGCCTAATCCCCCCTCCACAAGATAAATGTTCCTGTCTTTACAAAAGAATCCAAAACTAACTCATACAAAAGTACATCAACTCTATTTATATGAGTTTATTTCTAAAACACTTCCCGATTTCCCTCTTAACTCTTCTTTCTCCTCTCATAAACCCTCCATACCCTATCAGAAATAGTTAGAATTGTGCGAAATCGCAAATTAGCAACGTTTTTGGAAGTTTGAAAGGGGGAAAAATTGAAGCAAAAATGAGGTCGTTTGGAGGGGAAAACTGATCTAATTAGGGCTATGATATTAAGCCCCTTTTTCTTTGTTTTGTTGAGCCGCATCACTATCTCTAGCCATCATGTAACATCTCGCTACCATCCTTTCACCCTCTCGCCGTCACGTCTCTGTCTATAGCCATCACACTCGCCTTTGTAGATCATCTTGTTGTTGTCCTTGGTCACATCACTGTTGCGTTGCTATCTGTGACCATCATGCTCGTTGTTGGCCACTTGTCACCTCCTTCGCTTGTTGCGCACTCCCACTTTCGCTTTCCCCCTCTGCACTCTTTGTTTAAGTAAAGATGATTTCACTTTTCTAAGCCCCTGTTATGTAGCATGGTTAATTTTTTTTTGTTATTTTTAATTTTTCGAACATTCTACACAATCTACCAATGATGTTTTTATTTTTTTAATTTTTGTGGTGAAAAACTTAGACCATTATGTCTGGAAATGCATCAAATTCAATGGATACTAATCCCAGTGCATCCTCATTTGTTAAAAGTAGAAGTAAAAATGCTCTGGGAAACAAGTCAAATATTGGATGGAAACACAAATTAGATATTAATGGCAATGGTAGAAAAGTGAAATGTAACTATTGCTCAAAGATTATGAGTGGAGGAATATTTAAATTCAAACATCATCTTGCTAGATCTAGGGAAGATTTTGAACCTTGTGCTTTTGTTTTGGAAGAAATAAAAAATTTGATGATAAAAATTGTTAAAGAAGCTAAGGAAGCTTCATTAAAGAGAAGAAAGTTAAATATAATTGATGAAGACAATGAAGAAAGTAAGAGTGTTGAAGGAGGACATGGGGTGTTTAGTATGAAAGGAAAACAACAAGTTGCCACTACTAATAAGGGGGGAGTCCAAGCAACTATAAATCAAATGATGAAAAGAGGATACAAAGAAGTTGATGCTCAAATGGGTGAAGTCTTTTACACTAGTGCCATTCCTTTCAATGTATTTAGAAATCCAGCATTTGCAAAGATGTTTGAAATGATTGGTAATATGGAGTTGGCTACAAACCATCTTATCATGATATTAGAGAAAAGCTCTTGAAACATGCTGTGAACAAAACGGATTTAATTCTTAAAGAATATAAGGAAGAGTGGAAGAGAACTGGCTATACCATTATGCATGATGTTTGGACGGACAAAAAAAGACATTTTATTTGCAACTTTTTGGTGAATAGTTCTAAAGGCACATTTTTTTCTTTATTCAATTAACACTTCAGACATTCCAAAAACAATTGACGAAGTATTCAAGATGTTAGATGACGTTGTTGAGTTTGTTGGAGAAGAAAATGTAGTTCAAGTTGTCACTGATAATGTTGCAAATTTCAAGGCAATAGGAGATCTGTTGAAGCAAAGAAAGGAAAAAAAATGTATTGGGCTCCATGTGCAACACACTTCATTGATTTGATCTTTGAAGATTTTGAAAAGAATTTGAAGGTCCATAAATTGACAATCCAGAAGAGAAAGATTACCATTTACATTTATGGAAGAACAATGTTGATTTCCTTGTTGAAAAAGTCCACTAAAGGTAAGACGGGGTGTGACTAGATTTGTCCTTGCTTATTTAACTCTTACTTGTCTTCATGAATTGAAGGTATCATTATTGACCATGTTTAGCTTTGAAAAAGTGGAAGACAAGCAAGTTTGAAACTTATAAGAGGGGAGAAGAGTAGAACATGTGGTATTAGATAACTGGTTTTGCAAGAATGTCTCACATGCTTGAAAGTCGCTGCTCCTCTTATGGTGGTCTGAAGATTGGTGGACTCAAATGTAAATCCCACGACAGGTTTCATTTATGAAGAGATGGACTCTACAAAAGGGAATGTTAGGTCCAATTTTAACCAAATTAAGAAAAGTTAAAATTTCAAACTTTTACTTGTTCACAGTTTACTTACTTATGTGTGAAATTATTTCTAATATAGCATAATTGGTTTGGTATTGACTATAGCTATTTAGAGGTTTGGAGAATAGTTGATGCTCAATGGGATAATCGACTTCTTAAGCCTTTGCATGCAACTGCCTATTTTCTCAACCCCCACTTCTACTATGAATGTAACATTAGATATGATGATGGTGGAAAGGTGAAAGAAGGATTGTGTACGTGCATGAGAAGAATGGTACTAGATATGCCAGAAAGAAGAAGAGTTAATTTTCAAATTGTTGAATTTCATTTTGCTAGAGAACTTTTTGGAATGGAAGATGTAAAGGAATGTAGGAAAGCATTAAATCCTAGGGAATTGTGGGAGATGTTCGGGGATGGAACTTCGGAGTTGAAGAGATTTGCTTTTCGAATTCTAAGCTTAACTTGTACTTCCTCGTAATTGGAGTTCATTTGAAATGGTAACTTAAATTATTTATAATTTATAATTTTCTTTATTAGGTTGATATCTTTAATAAGATTTGAAATTTCATTTTAGGTTCATACAAAGATAAGGAATCATTTGCATTACAGAAAGATGAATAATTTAGTCTATGTGATGTATAATTTGAAGTGGAAAATTAGACAAATTCGAAAAACTATTGTTCTTCCATTTGATGATATTGAATCAGATAATGAATGGATAACTAAATAGGCAGATGATGTTGTTGTGATTGAGCAAGCTCAAGGTGAAAATGATTGTGAAAAGGTTCAATTAGATGGAGCAACAACAAATACAACTTTAGATATTATTGATCTTGATTGCATAACTTTTAATGCCAATGAGGATGCACAACTTTCATCGAGGGAAGAGTTGGATTAAGATGATGATGGAGATGATTATGTCATTAGAGGATTAAAAGATTACACATAGACACTTGACATTTGAATTTCTGTTTTACGATATTTGTATGAACTTATTTATTTCAAGTTATATAATTTTGTGGCCTTATTTGAATTAGGATGTTATTCGTAAAAATTATTTTTTTTAAGTGAAGTAAACTCTTATGAGTTTACTTGTCTCTCACAAATTTATGTTTATGAATACACTCGAGTTTGACAACCTTGGGTAAGATTATATCAATAAGTTCAATAAGTTGAGATTGAGATGTGTTATATTTGTATTGCTTTGAATATAAGGATGCGAAGAAGCTTTGGTATTTTCTGAAGTCTGAGAATGATTATATTGTTTTCTTAGGCTGAATTATATCTTTCTTTGTTCTTTCTGATGCTCAGCTCTTGCAACATTTATGGGAATTTATCTTGTAGATCTTTAATTAAGTTGTGGGGCTTGGCTAGCTTGTTTCTTGTTTTAGATGAAGCTCTCTGTTTTGTCAATTTTGTATTGTCTTTAGTTTTTAATGATTGGTCTTCCTTGTAAGTTGAAAAATACAAAATGCAGATCACTTTACTAGTCCCCACTAAGAGTTGGTGTTTTCCTTAATAGTTTGCAAATAAAAGAGCTGTTTCCCCCCCACTAATCGCCATTTATGCAGGGCATAATGTCTTCCCAGCTATCATCTTTGCTTTTTCTTGTTGTGGGCATTTCAATGGCCATCACACCATGGCTAGCAGCAGGAGGCCAGCTGATTGCTTCCCGTTTTGAGCAGAATGATGTTAGAAGACTATTACCTGAAGAAAGTGAGGTAAATTCTCTTACACGAGCAGCTGACTGTTAGCTTCTATTAGAAAGTGGGATTTTAAGCCTAACTCAACCCCACAAAACCGGCTTGTAAGGTGAGGTTTGCACCTCACTTATATATTATAAATTGGCCTTATCTCTAGTCGATGTGGGACTTCCAACACACCCCCTTCACGCCGAGGTATAGACATCTCGTGCGTGATAGTAGAAATTGGGTGGTCCGATAACGGCCCGATAGCGGGTGGAATAGAAGAATAGAATGCCCACTCAGAACTCGCTAGGATAGGCTCTAACCATGGCTCTGATACCATATTAGAAAGTGGGTTTAAAGCCTAACTCAACCCCACAAAACCGGCTTGTAAGGTGAGGTTTGCACCTCACTTATATATTATAAATTGGCCTTATCTCTAGTCGATGTGGGACTTCCAACAGCTTCGTTGATAATGATCATGAAATTTTAGATTAAGTATCTATGATTGGGCGCTCTAGTGCATTGTTTATCAACATTCTTAGAGCTGAATAAATTGTTTATGTTTCGTAGGTATAGGAATTTTGGACCTGCAGGTATAATGTGGTTGTCATATTTGGTCTTTATCAAAGTTGTGCAGAAACTGATGTCTGACCACATGGAGTCATGGATTATTCAGTTAGCCTTTTAAAACATATTTCAGTTAAATTATCTTAATCCTAGTTTGCAAGTGAATTCCGTCAATTCATAGATTCCAATAAAACTAAGAGGCATCTACTATTATCTAGTAGTACATAAAATAAGTATTGGATTAGCTTAATCATTCTTCAATTTCCCGAAATATAGATCGATTGAGGGGAGTGTAGGTATGTTAGAATCTATAGATATGATAATATTAGGATCAATTAAATTGATTTTATTTTTATCTTATTAGCCTAAAACAAGGTAGCTGAATATTTTGTAATTATATTATCTACCCTATAAATAGGTTAGTTCCACTTTGGTCTAAACACACAAAGTGAATAGAGTGGAATTCACATTGTAGTAACAGAGTTTGAACTTGCTTTAAACTTGAAGATTTAGAGTTGCTAAAAACGCTTGAGTGAACTATCTTCACTCAGTATCAATATGCTATATGTACATATTAGAAAAAGATTACACGAGAATGATGATAGACCAGTTCAGCCAAGGAGACCTTTCATCTATATATACACTTTTCAGACTACATAAAAATAAAACATTAAAAGACTTTTTTCTGATAGCAGGTATAACTAGTCTTTTCTTAACAATTTGCCAATATTTTATCTTGTTTGGTGATTGAAAGAGAAAACGTTTCTAGTATTTGAGGTGAATAATTTTCTTGCACATGAAATTTTCCTTGCTGTCACTGTTATCAACATTATTGAAAATATGGGGAACATAAAATGTTAGCTGTATTTATTGTTCAAATTTAAAAATTTTTCTTTATAGTAAATAACAACATTTATACTATAGGTCAATGGATATCAAAACCTAATATGAAACAGTACTATATATACCTATTTATATTTTAGAGTTGGTTTATAACCTTTCCCAAGCACCGTATAGTTCAGTTTGGTAACTCATTTTAGTTTGACATATCTTATCAGAAAAGTGTAGGGATGGAAAAAGTTGAGAACTATACACCTAGCAAAGTTGGTAAAGTTTTTTATGAAGTCAGTTAACTATAGTTACTAAAGTCCTCACTCCCTCTGTAAAAGTTTGTTCTGATTCCATAGGGATTAGCACGTTTGGATAGAATTCTTAAACAGAGAAATGATAATTATGTCTGAATGGAGAACTTTGATACCCTTTATACATTTTTGACATTATGAGTGCTTATTTCTTGCATTTGAAATTTTTGGGCTATAGGTTCTTTATTAACTTTTTTCATCCTGATCACTTGACACGAATGTTATTGGTTCCTTGTTAACAATTTAGTTGACATTTATAGCTAAAAAGTATATGGTAGTTTAAGGAGTTTCTGTAGGAGCTCTTCCTAAACCAGAGATGGGGCAGTGGATGCAATTATCCCATATGGATTTACCATTTTGTAATTTCTTTATTTCCAAGTAACATGAAAATTTGGTAGTTGACTGACATCTTTTTGGATGACACCTTTTTACAGACAGATGATCTGCAAGATCATATTATTATTTGTGGATTTGGACGAGTGGGCCAGGTAAACTCTTTTTTGGTTTGATAAATTAGTTTGTTGTTTATATAACTGATTTAACTATGACGGCTTACTTTTTGTATTATGATTAGATCATTGCCCAACTTCTTTCTGAGCGTCTTATTCCGTTCGTCGCACTAGATGTAAGGAGGTAACGCAACTTGCTAATTGAGATTATTGTTTTTCTCTTTGGATGAGATTTGATATCTACATTGTTAGATGCAATACCGACTTGTCTTCTGGGGGAAAGAAAATAAAATCATCACAATCATATTTCTGTGTACAGATCACAAGTACCTTCGGCCATATGATTGTGTTTTCATTTTTCATAACGGTTGGTTCGAGTGTAGTGTTTTATACTTAATTGGAGAGCATCTATATATAGTTAGTTCTAGTTCCACGATTCTGATAATTGAAGTCTAGGATGAGAGACAATCTTGGATTGTACATGATGAGTAAATAAATTGTCGAGCCACGTCACAACTGTGTCTGTCAATGATCTATATGCAATTTACATTCATAAAATATATGATACCCAAAAGATTGGAGTACTCTCACATAATTTTTTACATATTTTGTTTTCTCTGAACAGAATGTTCATATCATTATTTTTTATTATGGTTTGCTTGTAAGATGAGTGGCTTTCAATATGTTAAAGAGATGATGAACTAACTTGTTTATCATGTTTCCTATTATTATCTTCAGTGATAGAGTTGCAGTTGGCCGTGGTCTGGGTCTGCCTGTGTATTTTGGGGATGCTGGTAGTAGAGAGGTAGTGCACGTTACCTCAGCACACTAGTCGCATTACAGTTCATACTTGATTTTATCTTTATTCTTTCTGGGATGTGTGTTTAGGTCTTACATAAACTTGGAGCTGAAAGGGCATGTGCTGCAGCAATAACACTCGATACACCTGGTGCAAATTATAGAACAGTCTGGGCTCTGAGCAAGTACTTCCCAAATGTGAAGACCTTTGTCCGTGCCCATGACGTTGATCATGGATTGAATTTAGAAAAGGCTGGAGCCACTGCTGTAATATTCTAGTACCTGTTCTAGTATCCCTGTTTGATTACCTGCTGATATAATTCCATAACAGTGTAGCATTTGGTTATCGCATTAAAATGTTTGGAAAATTATGAGTCCATTAAAAGGATTAAACAAGAAAACGGAACAGGCATTCTACTCTATTCTATCTGCAACCAAATGCTGTCATAGGAAAAAAACGCTGTTGTATGTTGTAGCAAAATTAAAAGAAAAACATACCGTTAGTAAAATGCTTACTCTAGAGAACTTTCTTCCATTTGCAGGTCGTACCAGAGACTTTGGAACCAAGTCTTCAACTTGCAGCTGCTCTGCTTTCTCAGGTAACGTTTTTCAGTGAATATCATATTTTCGTTGAAACAAAATGTTCATGTAATGGAAAATACTTTAACCTGTTTCTCTCGTATTTATGTTAATAGTCATATTCAAATTTGTCTGTTAGTAGCAAATGATTATTGGCTATTTCTTGCTGCGATTGAATCCTGTGCATTCACTATCGTTAATTTCTCTTCATACCAAGTTTACAATCTTGATTAACTTTTCTTCGAAATGGTTTCAACAAACTTTTGTTCTTTTACACTTTCTTCACATCTAGTTGGCAGAACTAGCATTTCCGTTCATAAAATTGTAAATGAGATGAAATAAATAAAATGAAAATGTCAGATGATGTGTAATTAGGCGTTATTGGGTAAACTATTAAAAAATATTATTATATTTATTGCTAATTTATGAAAATTATGACACAATGATGGGTGATCTTCATTTTTCTTTAGGCCAAACTCCCCACGACGGAGATTGCAGCCACTATAAATGAATTCAGAACTCGACATCTGGCTGAGCTCTCAGAGGTAATATTCCTTTTGAGTTCGTGCATAAACATGCACAGTTTGTATCACTCTTTTATATATTGGATATTTAAATGGACGATGTTCTTGATCTATCTGTGCAGCTGTGTGAAGCAAGTGGAAATTCTCTGGGTTACGGATATAATAATAATAATAAAATTGCGGGAAAACCAAAATCCCAATCAACAGATTCATTAGACGAGACCCCTGTTTCTGAAGGCACACTGGCAATATGAAGAGTGTTGCATATATACAAAAGTTAGATGGCAGAAGAGGAGTTAGACAAAAAATTATCAAAAGATGTATAGCAGATTTTTAGTTCTATTGTTATGTACAGATATAGCCGGATAGATGGAGATGCAGTAGTTTTATTTTCTTTTTGCCTAGAAAAATTTTGGTTCCGGGCACCTCAAATTTCTGTTAAAGGGTGATATCCCTGTTGATGTAGTTATATGCGCCATTGGCATTGTTTTCATTTGCCGTGGCTCCAGAAAAACGTCCAGTCATGTTTCCCCTGCTTAACATCAATATGCCAATGCCCTTGACAAGTAGGGTCACTCCCGCAGGTAGATAATTGTTTTCACTCTTTTTCTTACTTTTGTATTGCTGTTATGTTGGAAAGTTGGTACTTACATATTTTTACTCAAACATATTCTAACCTGAACATCTTTCGTTTTTTTTATTTCTTTTTCAGCTATATGCTTCAGCCCGCATAGCCACAAGGCTAAAAAGTTAAGAAATGTTATCCTTTGCGTTGTGTTTGAATGATGTTATTCGATGTATTGCAACGTAACAAATAAGAGGAGTGAACAAAATGATGTTATATTTCATTTTATTTGCATGCACTAACGATGTTTTCAGTACGTTTGTTAAATACTTGGACTTTGTAAGTAATTTCACTGCGATTTGTTTTTTACTATTTCTAGAATAAAGACTTTTATTACGAGTTGTTTGTGTTATCCACACACACTCTTGGAAGAGATTTGGCAGTCGGTTAGGAATATTCCTTACTTATTCCTATGAACAACTATTAGTGTTATTAATTACTTTAGTTTGAAACACTTTTCTGTTTAACTTTTAATATTTTCACAATGTCATTGGATAAATACCATAACCATTCTTTCACGTCTATTTCGAACAAATAACATTAAAATTAGGTTTAAATATGTTTTTGATTTAGATGAAATTTTCATTTTATCTTTCGTAGTGTTTGTATTTTTATTTTGACTCCTGTTTATGTGGACAACACTTTGAATGGTGATATTAATTTATTTAGATCATGTTTTCAAGGAAAATTTATAGAGGATGAAATGTTAAAATAAACATTAGAAACTACAACAAAATTTTAAACTTATCAGAGGCCGCTAATATGTTATATCTCAAAATTATTACGTTTTTCGTTATTCTACAACGTGAATTCAATATTTTATAGAATAAAACTTTTAATACGGATAAAATCCATCCATCTTAGAAAAAATACATTACATGATAACTAATTGTGGTTATAGTCTGTGAAAAATGTTAAATATGCTTTTTTAGGTTCTTAAATTTAGAGCAAACTTTTAATTTTATCTTCGAATCATGCTAATCTTTATAAAAGAGCTGCGTGTCTCTTATTTCTCACACTCTTTTCATTATTGTTAGAGTTTATTAAAGCACTTTTCGGATTCACTTAAAATTCAGGAATTTTATTTTATAAAATTACAAGTAGAACTTACCAAAATTGTGATTTCTAATAAATTTCAAGAAAAAGTATTGGATAAAGGACATAGGCAGAGCGTCTTAAAAGTCCAATCTGAAGAAAACTTTTTTAATTTATATATTGACAAGTTTAGATGTTAATTTAATGTTATTTTACTTTTTACTATTACATTATTAAATGTTCATCAACATAGACAAAAATATTTACACATTTTTTTAATTGAAGTTAAAAAGATTTACTTTTAAATTTGAATAACCAAAAATGAAATTATCCCAAAATAAAAAAGTTATAAATATAATTTTTAGAAAACTATATTTTTAATATTAAATATTCACTAAATTTGTTTACGAATAATTTCCAGTAAACTTGATAAATATATTTGGTGACATGTTATTTCTCGGCCAATTTTTTGCATTTACAAAAACAAATATTTAATTCATATCTGACAAATTTAGCAGTGTATAAAACCAGCGTGGGTTCATAAATATTTTTAATTAACTAATTATAAATACAATAATTTCCCCTGTGCACCTTAACACTACATATTCATGGTAGATTCAAAATTTGAAAGTACACCAGAAAAAGTCGTAAACCCACTAAACAGCCTTCTTATTCACACTACTTCTCTGCTTTATCTTCTCCAACGTGAACACACCAACGCAAAAAGTATTCCAATTTCTACAAACAATGGCTTCCGAAGCGGTGGAAACTCACGAAGCTGAAGAAAAAGCGGAAGTGGAGAAGTTGGAATCTGATTTGAAGCAAATGGCGCAGAAGATTCTCGAATACCGGACAACGCTTCCAGATCAGCTCAGCTCCACACTCCGTTCGATTCTCGATGCCCACAGACCCTATCTCCCTCTGGGTACATCTCTTTCTAGGGTTTTTCTTTTCATGGCTCTAAATTTGGGAAATTTGGTGTGGACAAAACCTATGGGCTCATTTTGAATTGTTTTATGCTCCTCAAGATGGATAGAGTTTATATGGTGTTCTGTGGTTTTAGTTAGTTTCTTCAATTTGTGTTTTTTGGGGATTTAGGAAAGATGGCCTCTTTTTCTTGTCTGGGCATGTGAGTTTTCAGTAATGTGATTTGAAATGGGTGCTGTTTGGATCTTGTTGGTAATGTAGGTTGCTTCAATATTTTTAATTCTTAACTGAGTTTTAGAGCTGACTTTCATTTCTCTCATATGTCCCTACTTATTTGTTGTCATTTTATTGAGGTTATTACTGGGCACATATTAGTGAAACTGAAATCTGAAATTCGGTCATGGTAGGACAAACTTTTCCGTAAGCACATGTGGGAGAAGGAGATAAGAGAAAGTTGAATTGAATTTTTCTCTTAAGCAGTTTATTTGGATAAATTTTTCAATAAACACTAGTAGGAGAATAAAACAAAAACAAATGGTGAAATAAGTTTATCTGTAAGTTAAAATTATTTTATAAAGTTCTTACAAACAATCTTTTAGAAAAATTAATATAAGAGAATTTCTACAAATTATTTATGCATAAGCTAAGGGAAGTTTATGTACCTTTTACCTTTTATTTTCTTTTCTTAAAAGTGTTTATGGAGAAATTTATCCAAACAAGTTTAAAACAAGCTTTTGCACTTACCTTTTGTGGAAGATCTGATTTAACTTTTCCTGAAGCTAAGGTACATTCATTGATTTTCTTTTCCTGTATGTGTTAATAAAGAAGTTTATTCAAATAAGGAATTAGTGTATGTAAGTTCTAAGCTAGTACTTGGTAATGCAAGTATGTTGATGTGCGTAGATGAATGAAAATGTAGCATGTTTGGTATTAGATGCATGATACTTCTGGTTTGGTTTTGGAGGAAGGAAAAGTAAAAGTTTTACTGATTTTGATCATCTGTGTTTTGGCAATGTCATGTTGTTTGCGATGAAAAAATTTGTTGTGCATTGTGCAATGAAACTAGCTGCTTATTTACTGTGAGGTGCTATAATTTTCTTAGAACCGAACAGAAAAACAAAAAGATGATGACTTAGTAATTATTACTTGATTGATCTATTAGCAATAAAGAGAAATTGTCATTTCAATCTTATGTATAAAAAATAAAATTGTTTGAATCATCTTTCATTTTTCTAAAATTAATATTACTTTTTTGTTGACATCATCAGCTTGTCTGAGTATTATGTTCTTTTACCTACCTGGCTTCATTTTCCAATAGGTTTTTTGAGTAATGAGATGTAAGTTTAGAATTTTCTGTGCTGAAAACTGAATTTGGCCTATAGACATCGCTAACATTGTGATGATCAAACTTAATTAAAATTCAAAATGCATTTTGAATAATGACAGGTGGGCGGAAACAAATGTTGTTTTCCAAATATATAAAGAATTCACCATTTACAGATGACATTTTGTTAAATTGAGCATAAAGCTTGTTTTGTATTCCCTTGATTGGTAGTGTCTTGTTCATCTTTCCTTCATTGTTTTCTTGACTTAGATCTAGTAGTTGTTTTTCCATGGGTATTGAAGGACTATATGTCACCCGGTGCTAGTTAAAGGTAGATGACAGTTTCAGTCTTTAAGCTATGATCCTTGTACTTTGGTGGTTAAGGCTTCTTCTATATATTTTGTTTATTTGCTTATCTCTTTCGAGCTGCAATGTTTTTTTGTTAGTGTATTTCACTCGTTGATCGGTTTTATATTGTCTAGGTGCATCAGAACAAAACATGTCTAGAGAAGAAACTTCATCTGCTCCGGAAGACCCAGAGACTGCCAAGAAACTGAAATTGCTGAATGAAAAGATCTCGAGCAATTGCTCTGCTATGCCAATTGTTTTGAAAAGGATGAAAGATTGCATTACCAGAATTGAAAAGTTTGATTCATACAAAGATTCAATGATACATCCGGCCTTCAAAAGGAAGAAGACTGGATAGCCTTGATGTAACTTACAGTAGTTATTTATCTAAACACCTAAGCAAACAAGTGATCCAGCATTGACCAACTTGGATTTGTTCGATGAAGCCACCTCTTTACCATTTTCCTTATTCTGCAAGTGGGAAGAATGATTCGATGCTGATGTATAATGTATTACATTGTTTGGTCTTTTGTGGTAATATTTTGAAAAGCAACCCTTGCCAGTAGGACAGGGAGTGAGACAGTGAAGGAAAAGACAGGATGTTGTATAGTTCTTGTCGCTGTGTATCGGCTTCATCATTAATTGTATGTAAGCTTTTACATTTGCTTAACTTGTGATGGCTTTAGGCTTTAGCATATTGTATGTAAAAAATTTCTTGCAATGAACTTATTCTTTGTCCTATTTTAAGATTGATCATTTGAACTGTTAGGCACCTCAAATATACCCAACAACTAGGGTGATATTTGCTATGTACAAACTTGTTAGGCACCTCAAATAAAGTTTACATTATTTGTGACATTTTCTTGTGTGAAATTTGAATGAGCTATATAACTTCACTTTATACACACATATATTCACAGTAATTCAATTTTTTAAATTGGTTTGATTAAAATATAGGAGATAAGATTTAAGCAACTAAAAGAAGCACAATTTAAGAAAAGATCTTGAGATTGAATTACTTTGAACCTAAGTATTATATATCTATTGGTCACTTATGCATGTATAGAGATTTAAAGCTTAATGTTTGTTTAAAAAATAATTTACTCATCAAATTATTTTCTACTAGATATTCATGTTCCGTATCCAACTTTAAAAGAGTATTGCAATTAGCTCAACAAGATTGTACTTGTTTTTT